TTTTACTATAGATCAAGCGATACAACGGAGATTACAACCACGCTCGAGTTACTCAAACACTCTCAGTGTTTCCCAAGCCACAATTACACCTGATAACTCACGCAGTGTTTAGCCTCATAATTTTTCACGAAATAATCTCTCAATCTCACGAAAAAATTATACACAAATCTTACCGCAAGATTTAACCGTTACTAACACTTGAATTCTTGATGTAATTCTATGAACAAAACAATGAACCCACTGTCAAGCACTCAGCACCTATGGATGACCCACGGCACTCAGAGAGAAAATGGCGCTTCAAGTCTGCTCACATCAACAACGGCTTAAGGAATCCACCATCCAATATCGTGTATATATATAGAGCCAAGGAATAAAGACGCGCACAGTTGCCGCCTCAAGAAGTCCCCTGGTCGGTCAAAGTTGACAGAATCAAAATAAGAAATAAAATCCAATTGGACTCTCTTTCTTTTCTTCCTTTTATTTTATTTCTTTCTTTTCTTTCTCTCATGAAATTTGGCAACGATGGATTTTCCCCTTTTTGGAGTCTTGTTTGGCCAACTGCACTAACCGAACAGGAAATATAGATTTCCATGATGGACATCCATAAATATTCAACTTCCAGATTTTCCTTTAATTTATTTTGGGTTGAGTTTTGTTCACGAGCTCAAACTCAAGACATATTTTAACAACTTCCATCACGACTATAAAGAAATTTTTTGGGCCGTCTAATACTATCGAAAATTGGCCAAATTCCAATTATGACGCCTCACTTTTTAGATAACTTGACGCAGAGGTCAGGAAAGGCCTCAACTCTCTCAAGATATTCCATTACCAATTGCTTTGGAGACACAGCTTCTTTGCCCGTTAACGTTGTCAAATCAGAAAGCAACGTTTTTATATTTCTGGATTCCAATGCCAGGGATTCGGAAGCAAATTGCCTACAACTCTTCTCGTTTAAGATGGAATAAGTTTGGAACCAAAACTTGGATCGAGACGCGTGTGCCGGCTTCCTTGTCTCAGTGTCTAAATGTTTCTCAGCCTGCTCAGATTCGAAAAAATGGGTCATCCGTGACGGACCTTTCTTTTTTCATTCCATGTCTTTGGAAATTCTGGTTCGATATAGCATGTGTCCTTGTTTTTTTTGTTTGTGACTTGCATTATTATCATGTTACTTACTTGTTAACCAGCATTCTCGATAATATTATTTGGCAATATACTTAGAATAACGATGCGCAAAGTGATTTTAGGAGCCTAGAGAGCTCGGGTGAAATACGACTCTTTTAGGATGACGGAAGGGCGAAATTGAGCCGCTTTAGTACGACATAATTTAGCATCATAACGGTGCCGTTTTATGATTTTCTTATATATCATGTCAATTATAAATCCAAACCCTATTAGGTATTTTTTTTTCCCTCAAATCGATAGCCAACCCAAGTTTGGACCATATTATACCTGAACTCGCAAAATCGCCATTGCAATGTTGTCAATGGCCAGTGGAGGGAAGAGAGGAATGAATATAGGAAAAAAAAAGAAAAAAAAAAGGAAAAACTCAGAAAATTTTAAAAAATTGCAAAACGCCGTCCCTTTGTCCACGTCAACCGTCGGTTATGCCATGTAGGACGGCCGGCCTTGACTGGACCGTTACGTCAGCAATTTCTAACCAAAATTGATCGGGTGGATTACATTGAAAAATCGTCAAAAAAGTTTAGGACTAAATTGACCAAATTAGAAAGTTAATGACTGAATTGGAGGCCGAACAATAGATTTAGGACTTTTTGGATAATTTTCCCGTTTAATTGTGGCATCATTGGGAAGTATGAAAGAGCCTTCCGTTCGTCATCTCCCGTGCCATGTATGCAACCATGAATCGCCGCATGCCAACTAACAGCTTATAGTAATTTCATGGCTATTAATTTCTCCACCTTTGATTTCCCTATAGGCTATAAGATGATCGGCAACTTATCTTTTCAACCCCATTTGGTGACGCCCAAATGGCGATGGCACACAACTTTTGATGATCATTTCTAGCATTTTAGAGGTGCATTTTTCATAGGCGTTCTTATTATTTCAATCAATCTGCTATGCCTCTTCTTTTCTTCAATATGTTTATCAGATGATTTTATACAGAATTATTTAAAATACAATGCTCATTCAAATCCATGCCTGTAAGTTTTGTTCTGCAGTAGAGTTTATCTAATGTCTCCTAATAGACTTCTCTAGTAAAGTTTGATTTGTTGTCTGATAATACAATGCCCATGCAGTAGATTTAGAAGGATTCAATCAACATCGGTCATCTTACGTGATACATCACCACGTAAACTATATAGGGATTTCGCACAAAGATTTATGATTAAATTGATAAAATTAAAGATTTTAGAATTAAATTAGCATTCATACAATAATTTTAGAATTGATTGAATAATTTCCTCGATGTTGGCCCAAAGTCACCTTGTTTATCTACTAGGAGGCCGAGGGGGTGAGTGGCATAACACGGGTGTCAAATCTGACGAGGCAAATGGAGCAGAATTTACGAAGGTAAAACCGGCATTTCTAGTATTGAGAGTCTCCCATTTCTTCCGGTGCAATCCGGAGCAAGATTCTATAGGGCAATATTGGGTAAACAAGTATGGACGCTATCACAATTGCTCGTAGCCCTCTGGAGTAGATTATTGAAAGGCGTTTAGTAGCCAAGGGTAAATTTCTGGACGCTGGAAAGGGATCACGACCTTTTTGGGGCTGGCAAAGTTTAGTAATGGGCATAGATTTCATTGCGCAGGATGTTCGAGGGTCAGTAGGGAATGGAAAATCGAGGGAGGATAGGTGCGCGAATGATAACCATTATGTTTCGGACATCAATTTTTGGCCATAAATAGATTTTTCTATTTCTATTCCCTGAAAGAGTTTTCTGAGCAAAAATGCATATTTAATAACGACATAAAATTTCAGTTTCCGAAATAGAAATTCATTTGATAACGACATAAAATTTTTCCTTTTCGAGTGGCTGGCAGTGGGAGGTTGTGGCAAAGGACGGTAGCTGGCCGGCTGGCGGCAGCTGACCGGAGGCGGCGGAGGACGGTGGCGGGAGATGGCCGGCAGTGGGAGGTGGCCTGCAGCAGAGTGCAGAGGGAGGCGGCCGGCATTGGGCGGTGGAGCATGGCGGCCGGAGGCGAAGGACAGTGGCCTGTGGCGAGTGGCCACCGGCGTCGGGCCTCGGAGGACGGTGGTCGGCGGCAAGAGGCGGTCGACGGTGGATGGCGGCCGATGATGGGTGGCCGCCGATGTCAGGCAGAGGAGCATGGTGGTCGGTAGCAAGAGGCGGTTAGCCGGCGATGGCCGGCGATCGACGGCGGGAGGCGGCCGACAAGTGGCTGCAAACGACAGTGAGAGGTGGCGGTGGGCGGGTGGCGGCCGGCGTTGGGTGGCGGTGAACGGCAAAGGACGACGGGGGGAGGAGGAGATTGGCGAAGGACGCTGGCCTGAGGCGGTTGACGACAGGAGGTGATTGGCGATGGCGAGAGGCGGCTGGCGACAGTAGCGAGTGGCAAGGGGGTGACCGGCTAGTAGTAAGAGCGAGCGATGAGCAGAGTTTTTGTTTCTCATTTTTGTTCCAGAAATAGAAAAATAGATTTATTTTACTTTTGATTTCTGTTCCAAGCCTATTTCTAAAGTAGAAATTTGTTCCCGAAATAGAAAAATGAAATTACGTTCCTAAACGGATTTTTATTCCAAACCTGTTCCTGATAATAAAAAAATAGAAAAATAGAGAAACAGAATTAATTTCATGCGCGCCCTAGTTATCAGCAGGAGTACTGTGTAGACCGGCCAATCAAGTGGATCCTCAAAGAGCGGAGGACTTAGATTAACCAAAATGAAACGGTGTGGAATGAACAATTGCTGAATAACTTGCTTGAAGAGCATATAGTGGAGGAAATCGTGGCTGGAATATAGACTGGTTTGGACAGCGGACAAAGCTGGAAGCTTTACGGTAAAAACCGGCATTTCTCACAACCGTACGCGGAAATTGGACTGCCGATGTAATTTTGGCACATCCCACATGAAATGTTGCGGGCGTAGTGTCGGTGCAGGAGGTGAGAATGCGAGGGGATTAAGGAGGGCACTCATGGCTGCGCTTAGTCAAGAACATTGTATTAAACTGGATTTTCAATGTTGATTATTTATTAACTAAACCTAATTTGTCCTCTTCTGGATGACATTGAACTCTGGTTATTTCGTAATAAAACTCTAGACCATCTCAATTCCAAAAGATTTTCAAAAGAGAATGGTTGTGGAGCCGCTTAGCAAATTTCTTTCTCATTTCCAACTCTCCCCCCTCTTATGATTTGCTATAGATCTAATAAAGTGAATATCAGAACAGGCCGTACGTAATTAATTCGGCCCAACGCAGCAGTGTAAGGATTGAAAATCGCCTAAGTGTAATGTGATTTGGAAATGCTGTAGGATTAACGGTGTTCTTTCATTGCAATGCCATGTTTACTTTCGCTCGTGAAGATGATACATCTTCTAAAAATCTTTAACGCGGCGGTGGCACAGTTACTCAGATTTTTAATCCCTCGATTTTTTTTCTTTTTTTTTTTTATTCTGGTCGAAAATCCCTATATTGTTGTTAAAAATTTTAAAATTCTCCAGCCCCCCAAAATCTCACCAACCAAAGATGCCGTGAACGACCTAAACCACCCTGTAAAAGTAGGCCAATAACATAATAGATGACCTTTTTCTTTTTTTTATTATTCGATCTCTGATCTGTAAATTTCCAAGAAAAAAGAAAAAGGAAAAAATACAATCGACATTTGGTTCCTCTCTATATCATCCGTTGACTCTTGAAAGAAAAAGGAGAAAAAGAGGGAGCAGGATCGCCATCGCTTCAACCCCGAGGAGCTATGGCGGATGCGATCGTCTCGAAGGTAGCTGGAACTCTGGACGATTTCGCAGAGGATGGGAAATCAAGGGAATCGTTTCCGCTCTCCAGAAGGTAGTCCCCGATGTCGGAGAAGCGGAGCTTCGAAAGCTTTGCAATCGAAGCATGGGTCAAAGAGGCTTTCTATGATGCGGAGGATTTGCTCGAGGAAAATGGAACATTTGGAGTTACGCGACGAGGATTGCCGAGCAAACATGAGAAATCGAAGCAGCAGGTAAAGTACCTTCTTTTCACCTCCGAACCAACTTGCTCTAGGGGGCTGAAGAATATTAGGGAGAGAGTAGAAGGAATCGCTGCTAGAGGGAGGGAGGGATTTGGTCATAAACAGTTATTGTAATGCGCTCTCTCTCTCTCTCTCCTCCGTTGCTCTCTTGCTCTTTAGCTTGAGCGATTCATTTTGACCACTACCCACCAAATCTCCGCCTCTTCTTCATCCCCTTCTCCTCTCATCAGTCTTCACCAAGACTGACCCGATAGTTTCAATCATGGAACCTTCCGATTCCTCCGGCAAAGGAACGCCGCCGCCGCCGTCGCTGCAGCAGCTGCGGCGACAGCGGCTGCGGCAGCTGCGGCGACAGCGGCTGCGGCGACAGCAGCTGCGGCTACAGCGGCTGCAGCAGCTGCGGCGACAGCGGCTGCAGCAGCTGCGGCGACAGCGGCTGCCCCAGCCGACCAAGAAGCAGGTCCAGGTTCGGGGCCCCCCGCCCTCCCCGCTCCGGATCTCCAAAGATTCCCACTCCATCAGGAAGCCGCCACGACACCCGCCGCCGCATGCGGTGGCCTCCTCTGCGGCGGACCGGCAGCAGCCCACGATCTTCTTCGACATCAGCCCGAAGGTCATCCACGTCGAGGAGGGGAACTTCGTGTCCATCGTCCAGCAGCTCGCAGGGTCCTCCTCCAGCGACCTCTCCCCGGCGGCCAGGCTGGCGGCGATAGAGCGGACCTGCCCGTCGGGCAGAGAAAAGGGTTTCGCCAGCATCGCCGCGAAGGCGGAGCTAGGCGGGGCCGGTGACGATGACCTATTGGATATGTTGGGAGAAGTCGAGCTGCGTCAGATTCAGGGGATACTGTCGCCAGCGCCAGGGGCTCTCCCGGCTATATCGGCGGGGTTCTTCTCGCCGGCGACAGATGTGCAAGTAAATAGAGGATCGAGGAAGAGACTGCGGCGGAAGAGACTGCGGCCTGACACTTTTGTTATAGGGAGAGATGGTGCTAAAAGAGCAACTGCCAATGCCGCTGTTAATTTTGACTTAGAGAGTGGATCGGGGAAGGGAGAGCAGTCAGACTGCTTTGTGTACGAGGAGGAGATTATAGGGAGAGATGAGGTTAAAGGCGCATTTTTGAAGTTTTTGTTAGACTCTTCTTACACTAAAGAAAATATTCCAGTGCTTTCAATAGATGGTGAGAGTGGGATTGGAAAGACTGCTCTTGCTCGATGTCTATACAAAGATGAGATGGTCAACCGGCATTTTGATTTAACGATGTGGGTCTGTGTGGGTGACTTCTCTGATTTCAAAATGGTATTGCGAAAAATCATAGAAAGTGCAACCACAGAGAGAGCAGATGACATTGGGTTGGAACAATTGCAATATCAACTTAAGGAACACATTGCTGATAAAAAGTATCTCCTAGTTATCGACGATGTTTCGTATGGTTTTGCTGGACAATGGAAGAGCTTGGGAAGACTATTGATGGGAGGTACCAAAGGTAGCAAGATTCTGATTACTACACACGATGACTCAGTGTCGGGTTTGATTGGCACAACCTTATCCTATTGTCTTGGGGCCCTTTCAGAAAGCTCATCTCTAGATTTATTGATGAGAATGGCTTGTAAGGAAGAAGAAGAGACTGGAGATTCATATAAGCTAACTATCGGGAGGTGGATAGTCAAACAATGTCTTGGAATCCCTTTGGCTTTACGAACAATCGGAAGTACATTATTCTTCAAGAAAACTGAAGCTGAGTGGTTACATTTTGAGCACGAGATCTCGGAAGTTTATACAGAGTCAGATTATAATCCCGTATGCTCATATCTTAAGCATAGTTATTTTCATCTCCCATCCCATCTCAAACGGTGCTTTGCCTTCTGTTCATTGTTTCCCAAAGATTGGGTGATTGATAAACTAATATTGACCAGCCTCTGGATGGCAGAAGGATTTATCCGGCCCCTAGACGACGTAGATCGGGATATGGAAGATATGAAAGATATGGAAGATATTGCTCATGACTATTTCATGGATCTTGTTAGGAGGAATTTCTTTCAAGACTGCACTAAAGATGAACTTGGCAATGTGACGACTTGTAAGATGCATGATTTAGTGAATAAGCTATCATGTGCGGTTACTCTAACTGAGTGTTGTCGATACTTTGGTCTGCCAAGGATGAAAATTGATGAAAGAACTCGTCATGTATCGTGGGATTCAACTTTAGATCTATCACAGGGACTTCCAGCTACTCTACTCAGAGCAAAACATCTCAGGACATTCATCAAAATGGATCAAAGAAAAAGCTCGAGGAGTGAAACTCTAATGGGTGAAGATACTCTTTGTGAACTCATTTATAATTTCAAGTACTTGCGTGCCTTGGATTGTCATGGTAGTGGTATTGAGAAGTTGCCAAGTTCCATTTGTGAGTTGAAGCACTTGACATTTCTAGATCTCTCTGAAAATGAAGGAATCATAATGCTTCCTGATTCTATGACAACATTGCAAACCTTGCAAGTCCTTAAACTCAATTTGTGTTACAAGCTAATAGCATTGCCAAGCGATATAGGAAAATTGGTTAACCTCAGGCAACTGGAGATTAGCAATTGTAATGCCCTATCTCATATGCCACATGGATTGGGCCAGTTGACCCTTTTGCGCACACTAACAGATTTCCTTTTGCCTGGGGATGATTCTTGTTCAAAGAATTGCGGTGTGCTGGGGGAGTTGAATAGGTTAAGCAATTTGAGAGGAAGCCTAAGAATTAAATTTAAGGGAGAAATAGAAGATGCGGTAGCACAAGCAAATTCTGCGAACTTGAAGGAGAAGGATTCCTTAGTTTCGCTAGTATTAGTGTTTGCTGGAAAAGAAAGTGATGAAGTTCTACTCAAGGAGTTGCAGCCAAGCTTAAATCTCCGAAGCTTAGAAATAAGGGGCTATGGCGGCACATTGTTTCCAAGCTGGATGTCTCGCATGCCTAAGTTAGTTGAGCTACGGTTGGTTCATTGTGCAGGATGCAAAATTCTCCCACGACTCAATGAGCTTACTAGCCTCAAGCGTTTGGAAATTGGTGAGCTACCTAAAGTGGAGTACACAGAAAGAGATATTTATACCCTCTCATCACTTCCTAATCTGTCTACATTAGTGATAAGGGAGTGTCCTAATTTGGAATGGATTCCACCACTTCTACATCTCAAGGAGTCGAAACTTCCTAGTTTCCCTTTGGAGTCGTTGCATACCTCAGTTGCCACTATTGAACACGTAATTGGTATTGATGATCGAGTCAACGATGTAATCAAGTTATTGGAAATGGAAGATGATGAGGTTGAGTTGAAACTTCCTAGTTTCCCTTTGGAGTCGTTGCATACCTCAGTTGCCACTATTGAACACGTAATTGGTATTGATGATCGAGTCAAGGATGTAATCAAGTTATTGGAAATGGAAGATGATGAGGTTGAAGTACGCATTATTGGAATCCATGGAACTAATGGAATCGGCAAGACAACCATTGCGAAGGCCGTGTACGACCGACTCTCCTCTTGCTTCGATAGTTGTAGCTTTCTCGCAGAGATTGGAGAAACAGCACAGAACTTCGGTGGTATTCAGTTTGTGCAAACTAAGTTGATATCTGATATTCTTGAGCGAGATGGCGATGTTGCTTCTTTCAATGGAGGAATCAAGTTTTTCCTGGATGTGTTTCGCAATATAAAAGTTCTTATTGTCCTAGATGATGTGGAAGAACTGTCTCATCTTCATGATCTTGTAGGAGACCAACTTGACAGGTTTGCATCTGGAAGTCGGATAATTGTTACTTCAGAAAATGGTGGAATTCTCCAAACATATGCTTCTCGAGGCCTGGCTCGTACCTATGAAGTGAATGAGATGGATAATGATCGAGCTCTTGAACTTTTTCACAAGCATGCTTTAGGAACACACGGTTCAACATCTAGCTTTCCTGAAATTGAGAAGCGCATTATCAAAGCTACGGGGCGGGTTCCATATGTTATTGAAGTTATCAGTTCATTTCTGCGTGGAAAAACAATAGAAGATTGGAGGAAGATAGAGGACTTGATAAAACAACGGAGGGAGAAGTGGAAGGATTGTAGGGAGATATTGAAAATATGTTATGAAGCATTAGATGAAAAGCAGAAACAAATATTTTGGGACATAGCATGGTTTGCCAATGGCGTGGATAGCCGAATTGCATCATATATGTGGTCCCATCGAGATCTTTTGGCTTCTCACCATGTTTTGATGCCCCTAGCAAAAATCGGAGGAGACAACTTACTGTGGATGCATAAACTGTTGCAGCGCCTCAGCGGAACTATAGCTAAAGAAGAATTTCCTGAAAGGCACGGTAGATTATACATGGATTATACAGACCTGAAAGAGATCGATAGGAATGAGGTAATGGCTTCTGGTTCAATGGTTTGCTTTCTTCCACAAAATGAAAGCCTTGACATATGAGGTCTAATTTGTTATCCAGTTTTTTAGTTATTTTACCATCTATAGGTTTTCTTTGCATGCACGGAAAAGAAAACACTTTGTCAAATCGATTATAGCTTCAGATTGATTTGTTACTCTGGGCAAATGTAGGGAATGGAAGAGGTGGAAGTCCTCTGCTTTGACTTCAAAAATCGTTGTCCCCATACATTTACAGAAACAAATTTCAAGAGCATGCCAAACATAAGGTTCTTGAAATTGGATCATGCAAGCATGACAGGAAATTTCGCAAATGTGTTTCCAAAGTTAAGGTGGCTTCGTTGGCAAGGGTGCCCAAGGGATTTCGAAGCAACAGAATTTAATCTGACTGAACTGGTCATTCTTGATCTTTCGTGGAGCAAAGTCACTCAAGACTGGGGAGGTTGGGAGTTAATCAAGGTGGTTTCCTATTTACTGCTCTGATGCATTTATTCTGTTAATTATATGGCAATTGACCTTATGATTTATTCTCTCCTGTTTTACAGATGGAGCAATTGAAAGTCTTGAATCTCACCGGTTGCACTGACTTACTGATAAGTCCTGAATTTTCTAGCTTCCCAAATTTGGAGATACTGATTCTAGAGCGATGCTCTCGGTTGGTCCATTTACGTCCTTCGGTAGGTGGTCTCAAAAATTTGCTTTGCCTGAATTTGAAGTCCTGCACTGAACTCAACATGTTGCCTGCCGAACTGGGTGGCTTGGAAGCTTTGAAAGAGCTCCTCATTGATGAGACTTCTGTGCGTGATATTCCCTTGGTAGGTAATTCGGTAAAAATTGAAACTCTTTCCACCTCCAATTGCTTGTCATTGAGTCTCCCCGACGGAGTTAAAGAGCTGGGGAAACTCCGATGCTTGTCATTCAGGAATTGTTGTTGGATACTAGAACTTCCAGAGTCCAATGGCCAATTGGGAAGCTCTTTAGAGGAGCTGGATATTTCGGGAACAGGCGTTTCAAAATTGCCAGCTTCCTTTGCAAAACTGGAGAATTTGAGAGTGTTAAAGATGGACAATTGCTTCATAAGCGAATTTCCTAGTTTTTTTTGGCGTCTATGTAACCTTGAAGAAATACATGCCTCCTCGTGTAGGAATTTAGAAGGGGAGATTCCTGGAGACATTGGGAATCTAATTCATCTGAGAATCTTGAGGCTGCGAGATTCTGCTATTTCCAGGCTACCTCCTGAAATCGGGCATCTTTCCAAGCTGGAGACTCTTGATGTACTTCACTGCGACATGCTTCATGAGTTGCCAGCACTTCCCTCTGGTTTGGTTATTGTGCATTTGAGTCCAAAATTGAAGGAAAAGGTGTCTAACCTTTTGGGGAAGCATTGTTTCATCACTGTGTAACTTGGCCTTGCCTATGCTCAATAAGTTATCCGGATAATTGTTATTGTTTCTGCTCACATTTCCTTTCAAAGTATCTGAGCTTCCTCTGATGTTTCATGCTCGTTTTTTTAGTTTTTTTGAGGCCCAAAGTATTGCGTGCTGTTTGACACTTGCTGATGGTGGATCATCCGAAAGACGGCGATCACACTTTGACGTTGCCTGGCGGTGATTTTTTTTTAACCCTTAGGGTGACCGCGGTCTCTCTCGCAAGTCTTTCTCAAGACCTTTTAATTGTTGTAGTAAATTATTAATAAAAGATTAATTAAAGCAATAGTTGGGGACCGTAGTAAGTTAATGGCGAGGAGGAATCGAGCAAACGGGGGGCTTCATTTGATACTAGGCGCGGGCATTTCCATTGTGCATATTTTTGAATCATTAATAATCCATTGTTATGTAAGAGAAAAAGATGAGATTTGTATAACTTGTTTTATAGTTTTGTGAAAAAAATATCATACTTTATGAAGGTCTAAGATTATTGTGGTATAAATAAACGTCATAATTTTGAGTTTCCGGAGAACATAAAATATTAATAAAAAATTATCTCTTACGTATAATAATGAAATCTATATTTGAAATAAGTCTATTCATAAAGTAAAATATAAAAATAAGACAAATATAAAATGATCTTTTTTTCTAACTGAATTGCAATGTAAACTTTTTTTCTTCAAACTTTTATTGCATGTTTGAGACAAATATCTATTCTAGTAATATCAAAGTAACGGGTGTAATTTATTCCATTTGACAATCCGCATAATTAAAAGAAAAAAAATTAATGGATAGTGTCATATGTTAACAAAAGTTATTTCATTTCTCAAAGTGAAATTTATTTATTCAATGTAATTTTTCTACTGGACTAAATGAAATTTACTCGAATGAAATCAATTAAAGTTTTAATTAGCTAGAATACATAACCCATATCTAGGATGCGATTTGAATGTTTTATTTTTGTCCATTTCAACTTTTTTATAACTAATTTGATTCTAAGATATTGAAATTAAATAAAATTCATTCGTGTCATCAAATAATCTATTTTAAAAGTCATAAGATAGTAGTATTTGTATCTTTTAATTAAGCGATAGATGTAAAGAAATAGGCTATATATTGAAATTCTAAGTGCAATATTCTTAAATGACTGATATTCTCTAACAAACGATATGATTTATATTATAAAATTATAGATAATAAGTTTAAATATGGGGCATGACATTTGAAATTTGATGGGTTTCCTTAATTTCAATACTTTTATTTTTATAAAAAGTAAACTATATCATTTACTTACCTCACCCAGACGGCGACCTTTAAAGATATCTTTATCTATTTATTCTTTGTTTAGTTTGTTTAGGACCCCATAGTAACAACAAAGAATGCGCTAAACTATTAGTAGGAGTAGAAACTGCGGCGGTTAAGAAGTTGCATCCTTCTAAATAGGAACTAGCCAATCTATGGGTATACTGTGAAGTTACAAAGGTTGTACCTGTGAGCCAACCACCTAAGGCGAAATAGGCACAAGAAAAGAGATGATTTGGGACCAAGACAAAGAAAGTGCTTCTATCGAAGAAGCCCATGCATCTCAATCCGAGTTCGGTTTGAATTTTTGAAATAACCAAGTAAAGGACCAGCCAAAACGTGGGTATGGTTGAACCAAACTCGTGATTAATTATACTTGGTGGTACGAAAAATCGAATCTCTATTATCTACCTCATTCACGGACGCATACCCTTGTTCTTTAACTGATGAGCCTACTCCATGTAGAATCGAGAACAATAAAACAGAGGTATAAAAATATCTACAGGATAGGAGAGATGAGGCTGAATCTTATCTTTTATTCAGAATTTTGAAGCCTTTTAAATAGGCAAAAACATAAAAGAAACATGACCAAAACCCATGACAACCCAATGATCTGCATAAATCAATTACTCCACTAGCTCCTAAAAACTAGGACAACTGAGAAACAAATTAGCTAAACGTGCAGAACAGGAAACAACTATTATTTCAATAGTCCCTCCCTTAAACTGATGTTTGCTAACATTCAGTTTAAAGCATTAATTGTTTTCAGTGTGCAGACACCTAGTAACTTTCTGAGCTTCACGAACGACTCCATCTTGAGGGCCTTGGTGAATATATTAGCAACTTGATCTTCACTCCTGCAGTAGATTAGATCAATTGTTCCATCATTGCTAAGATCTCTCAAGAAATAAAACTTCACATCAATGTATTTGCTTCTTCCATGTAGCACAGGATTCTTGGAGAGTTTGATTGCTGAGTTGTTGTCACAAAAAATTTTAGTAGCTCCTGGTTGCTTGAATTGCAGCTCCTCAAGAATTCTCCTTAGCCAAATAGCTTGACAAGCACAAGTTGTAGCAGCAACAAATTCAGCTTCTTCTGTACTTGACAAAGTGACAATTGGTTGCTTTTTGGATGACCACGAAATAGCACCTGTCCCAAACATAAAAGCATAACCCGAAGTGCTCCTCCTATCATCTTGATCTCCTACATAATCACTGTCAGCAAACCCCAGCAAATTGGACTTTTCACCCTTCTTGTAAAATAGCCCAAAGTCTCTAGTTCCTTACAAGTAACAAAGAATTCTCTTGGCAGCTAACAATGCATTTCTGTAGGATTATCCATATATCTACTGATTAAACTCACATAATACATTATGTCCAGTCTTGTTGCAGTTAGATACATCAAACTACCCACAATTTGTTTGTAAAGTGTGCTGTCAACTTTCTTCCCTTCATGATCTTTGTGTAGCTTTAAGCCAAACTCAACTGGAGTGTTTACAAGATTAACATGTCATCACAATTTCCAGTAAATATAAGATCATCAACATACAAGCAGACAATGAACATTTTCCCCTTATCTCCCATCTTAACAAAAAGTGTATGCTCGTGGGGACATTTCGAAAAACCAACTTTAAGAAAATAAGTCTCAATGCGACTAGACCAAGCCCGTGGGGCTTGTTTTAGTCCATAAAGGGCTTTCTTCAATCTTTAAACTTTATGCTCATTTCCAATCTTGACATAACCAGGGGGTTGTTCGACAAATCCATGTTCCTCTAAGTACCCATGCAAGAATGCCGATTTGACATCTAGCTAGAAAATAGGCCAAGAATTCCGTATCGCCAATGCAACCACCAATCTGATTGTGTCAGGTCTTGCAATTGGAGAAAAAACTTATGTATAGTCGATCCCGTATTGCTGCTTGTATCTCTTGGCTACCAAGCGTGCCTTGTACTTGTTAACTTCACCATTTTCTTTCAGCTTTGTTTTGAAGACCCACTTTACACCAATAGTTTTGTGTCCATTCGGAAGATTGGATAGCTCCCAAGTACATTTCTTTCAATGGCATCAATTTCAACATCCATCGCTTTTTGCCATTTTTCTTCTTTGACAACACTCTCAAAAGTTGTAGAGTCATAGTCTGAAAATAAAGCAAAGTGAGTAATTGGATCTTCAATTCCAGTTACCTCATAATTTTCCATCCAAGTAGGCCTTCTTCTAACACGGCGAAGAGATTGAGCTTCTTCTTCATTGACTTCAGTAACTGTTGGTGAAGTTTCAACGGCTGTAGAAGTTGTATTTGATGAATTTTCGAGCATAGAAGGTGCTGAAATTTGCTCCTGTTCATCATCATTGTCATAAAAGACTTGGGTAGGCTACTGCCTATTTCAATCTCAAGTGTTCTCTTGATCAAAAACAACATCCTTGTTGGTCACAATCTTCTTTGTCAGTGGATTGAATAATTTATATGCTTTGGATGCTTCACTTACACCAAGAAAGACACATTTTTCAGCCATGTCATCAAGTTTCTTCCTTTTCTCATCCGAGACAAGGGCATACACGATGCATCCAAAGATTCTGAAGTGATCTACAGCTGGTCTTCTCCCACTCCAAGCCTCTTCTGGTGTCATATTTTGAACAGCAAAAGTTGGACTTCTGTTCAAAACATGAATGCTCCAGTTTACTGCTTCCGACCAAAAAGTCTTTGGAACTCTTCCTCTTGCCAACAAGCTTCCCACCATGTTGAGAATGGTTCTATTTTTTCTCTCAGATACACCATTTTGTTGTGGTGTATATGCTATTGTAAGCTCTCTTCGAATGCCATGCTTTGCACAAAAAACTTCAAATTCTTTTGAGCAATATTCACCACCACGATTTATTCGAAGGGTCTTAATGGTCTTTCCTGCTTCATTTTCCACACAAGCTTTGAAGCTTTTAAATGTAGAGAAAGCTTTTGATTTTTCCTGTAAAAAATAAACCCAAGTTTTTCTAGAAAAATCATCAATGAAGGTTATTAAGTGTCTTTTACCTCCATTAGAAGATGGGTTTATTGGATCACAAATGTCCGAATACACCAGCTACAAAACATCCTTTGCTCTCCATGACTTCAAATTCTTTTTAGCAATATTTACCACCATGATCTATTCGAAGGGTCTTAATGGTCTTTCCTGCTTCATTTTCCACACGAGCTTTGAAGCTTTTAAATGTAGAGAAAGCTTCTGATTTTTCCTATAAGAAATAAACCCAAGTTTTTTCTAGAAAAATCATCAATGAAGGTTATTAAGTATCTTTTACCTCCATTAGAAGATGGGTTTATTGGATCACAAATGTCCGAATACACCAGCTGCAAAACATCCTTTGCTCTCCATGACTTCCCTTCGAGAAATTGAGAACGATGTTGTTTGCTAACAACACATTCTTCACAGACTTGGGAAAGAGTAGTAATTTTAGGAAGACTTGTCACCATGTTTTTCTGTTGAAGGGTCTTCAATCCACCAAAACTCAAGTGGCCATAGCGAAAATGCCATAACCATGAGGGATCTTTCATTTCAGCCGTCAGATAAGATTGAATACTTTCAATCTTTAATGGAAACAATCTGTTTAAACTCATATGAACAACTACAATAGCACCTCTAACAAAATCATAAATTTCACAAGCACCCTTCTTAATAGTGATAGCATAACCCTTTTTTTTGTAACTGACCAGCACTCAATAAGTTACTTTTCAGGTCAAGAACATACAACACGTTAGAGATCGTTTCTATAAA